CTCACATGCAGAGGACTATGATCTGTGAGTCTACCCCTAAATAAAGAACCCTTTACTATGCTCAATTCTGAGCTAATGTGGGACTACTTGATAGTGTCCATCTACAGAGAAGAATAAAGAAACATGGGTAGACAGAAGCTATTGTGAGTAGACTTCATAACCCTAGGATTCTAACCTCCTGACTTTAGTCCCGTTCACTTATTGTGGTGTCTTTAATTGAACTGTGAGAGGGGTTTCTTAAGAGTTGAACTCTTAGGGACTCTGTTAGATTCTGTAGGTTTTCCTGTGGTATCCTTGACCCTTCTGGCTCCCACAATCCTTCCTCCCTCTCTTCAGAGGATTCCCTAAGCTGTGCCTCAAGTCTGGATGTGGGTCTCTGCAACTGTTTCCATCAGTTGCTGAGAGAAGTATATCTAATGATAATTGGGCTAGGAACCAATCTATGAGTATAGTAGAATATCATTAGGAATCATTTCATTGACTATGTATGTTGTCATTCATGTTTGGTTCTATCCTAAATCTCTAGGGTCTCCAGGCTCTAGGTCATGACCTTCAGACTGTTTCAGGAATAAGTTCCCTCTCATGATATGGGTCTCAAGCTGGACTATTTATTAACTGGCCATTCACACAATTTCTGTGCCACCTTTACCCCAGCACATCTTGAAGGCAGGACAAAATGTAGGTTGAAGGTTTTATGACTGGGTTGATTTAATTTGTATCATATTACAAAAGTGGGAGCTACTTTCATTCTTCAACATGTAGATATTAAGTTCCTCAGCACCATTTATTACAGACTCCTTGTAAGCATTTTTGGAATCTTTGTCAAATATTAGGTGTCTGTATCTTCAGGGGTTTATACCCAGACCTTTGTACTGCTCTGTTGATGCTGTTATTGCTGGCATAACTCTGAAATGTAGCAGAAACTAGGGATGGTGGTTTCCTCAATCATGTTTATTTACTATTATTTTTGAAGAATGCACTGATTTACTTGGATATCCAAGATTTTCTGTGCTCCCATATAAATGTTATTTCTTTTTTATTTTAGTGTGGAGTATCAGCAGATTTTGCAGGGGTTGTAATGAATCTGTATATTGCTTTCAGTAAGACATTCATTTTCTCAATATTAATTCTTTCAACTCATGAGCATGGGAGGTCTTTCTGCCTACTTGTGTCTTTTTGCAATTTCTATTTTCAGTCTTCTAAAGGATTTATAATAGAGGTCTTTGACTTCTTTGTTTATGTCTGTTTTCTCTTGATTTTTAGAGAATTTTATGCATAAGTATTGTGTTTACATCATTTCTACTTCTAACTTTCTTTCTCTAACTCTTCCCTTGTCTCCCTACTCCCTTCCAAATTTATCACCAATTCTTCTTTTATTATTATTGTTTCACACATACACAACACTATACTATATCTAGTGTTGCTAGTATGCACATGTGTTTGGGGATGACCACTTTGCATTGGGTAACATATCAGGGAACTAGACCCTGAAGAAAATTGGTTCTCCTTCACACAGAAACCATTATTGCCATTTTATTAAATCAACATGATTTCTGATGTATTTTAAATTTACTGAGGGGTTGATAGTTCATGTGTGCTGCTTTCCTGTCATGTCTAGAAGACAGTATCTTGCAACAAGGTACTGAAATTTTGGTTTTTTAAACTTTTTGTCCCTTCTTCCAAGATGGTGCCATGCCCTTGGTATGGTGGTTGCATGGAAGATGGAGCAATTGGGACTGTGGACACACAACAGTCACAAGTTCTCTGAATTTTGACCATTTTTAAATCTCTGTAAGAGTTTTCGTCAGTTGCCAAAATAAAAAGCTTCTTTGATAAGACCTGAGAGCTACAATTACTTTTGTATATAAGGATAAACATTTAGAATACAATTAACTATTCTGTTTAAAGAAACGGGGCACCAGCTCTGTGCCATGCCTGGTGTCTGGTATAGGCAAGACTCAACCAGCACCAGGCAGTCAGGAACCATTATGGTGAATAAGCACAGGGTGGTAAAATGGAAGAGAGATAGAGGCAGAATGTTTAATAGACTGGGAAGAAAGGTGGATCTGAAGAGGTGGGAGGATGAGGAACAGGCTGATGTGAATGACATGCTATTCCAAGGTGATATTTGGGCCTTATTACTAAGGGTCAAGTCTTGGATGACTATGGCTCTTATCACCACTGAGGGCAATGTAGCGGCTTGTAGTCTAGGCTGCCACCTGGGGCCATGTTGGTATCCATGTGCTATGCTACCTTGGGGATCATGTTCATCTGAGTTGCCAGTGCTATCATCTGGAGTCATACTGACACCCAGGCTTGGACTGCTACTGAGGTCCATGTCTAGATCCATAGTCCTACCACAGACAGGGTCTGTGTTGATGTCTGTGGCCCATGTTGCCACTAAAGGTCATGCAGAAACCCAGGGCCTAGTCTGTAACCTCTGGCCATGTGAGTGTCCAATAGATATGCTGCTGACAGGCCCATGCTGATCTGAGTGGCCTGCAGTGTCATCTGGGGTTATGGTGTCATTGGGCCAGGGCTACTGCTGAGGGCCATGTCTGGGTCCACAGCCCTATAGTAGCCACAGTCTGAGTTGACATCCAAGTCCATGACTCTTGTTGCCACCTAGGACCATGAAGATGACTGGGGTCTGGCCAACCATGTCAGTGTCTGAAGACCATGTTGCCATCGGGGAAATCCTGATCTAGGTGATTTGAGCTGTCACCAGGGCCATAGTGACATCCGGGCCTTACCTGCTGCCAATAGTTTTATCTGGGTCTATGGTCCTGCTGCAGCTGGGGTCTATGTTGATGTCCATGGCCTGTGTTACCACAGAGGGACATAGGAACCATGCCTGTTGAAATCTGAGTGCTATTTTAAGCTGGCCCTGCCCTTCCCTGTATACTATATCAGGATACCTGGTCCTGCTACTCAGGGAAGAGTTGCTCCCCACTCTTAGAAAAAATGATCCCACCCCTCACCACTAGCCTACACTTTACCTGGGATCACACTAGAGCTGACCCTGTTGTCAGGGATACAGGTAAGTTAGCCCCGAGGGAGTGAGAGGAAAACTGACAGTGTCCTCCTCATCTGACATAGGGTGGAGTGGATGAGAAAAAGATGCCTTCCTCCTCCTCACCTTATCCATTACCACCTGCAGTGGCTGAGAAAGCTGGCCCCAGAGTCAGGAGAGTGGGCGCACTAGCCCTGCCCCTCACCAACTGCAACAAACAAGAGATTAGAGTTGAGCCTGTTGTCAGAGCTTCCATGAGTCAGCCCTGAGGGTGTGAGAGCAGCAGTGCTGATCCCCCTCACCACTCCCCACCCTGGCATCTATGCCACCTACAGCAACTGGGAGAAAGAGCCCTGCACCTCACCTGGGCAAACAGTAGAGCTGGCCCTGGTGGTGTGAGTGTGGATGAGTCAAAGTGGTGAGAGAAGAAGAACTGGGACTGTGCCTTCAAGCCGCATTGAGTGAGCTAGCTGAGGCAGGGCTGGAGAGCTCATCTGGTAGTGGCCATGAGGGAAAGCTAGGGCTGACCAACCAAGCTACCACCCAGACCCAGAACTAGGGCTATGAGTTAGCCCACCCCAACATCCACCTCATCCATGAACTGCTGGAGCATGTGAAGGGGACTAAACTATAGATCCAAAATTGCAGGATCTCCATGACACAAGACAAAAGCAGGATATCCAAGAGGAGCCCTGGTAAGAGCCCATTATCATTAGTGTAGCAGAAGCCAGAGACCTCAAAGAAGAGCAATGACTCAGCAATGAACACTTACAAGTAAAGGTGAGTAGACTAAAGGGTAAACCGTGTGACTCAACCGGTCACACTACAGCTTCCACAATGAGATTCTTCTCCCTTTTTTCTGCTTGGTTTTAGTTTTAGTTTTTCTGTTAACTTTTGGTTTCTTTAGGGGGGATTGGAAGGGCAGATGTGAGGAGATGGAGAGATAAGTGGGATCAGGATGCATGATATAAAATCCATGAAAAATCAATAAAAGTTAAAAGAATTTTTTTTAAGATGACAGTATTGGATTGCCTTTTGCTCCTATGACTGGCTAGGTTTTCAAGAACCAGGCTTGAATTCCTTCCTATTAATAAAAATGTTTATGTAATTAAAGAGCTGTTGGTCACTCTCAGGATAAAAGTGTCACTATTTCCCCACTAAGACACATTGCGTTGCTTCTCATTGTAGAGGTTAACAAACTTTTAGTGGAGTAAGACTATTGATTGCTGTTCTCCCCCGGCATCTTGCACAGCACCTTCCAATCCTACAAGAGCTAGTACCCAAGGAGGGGGATTCTGAGTCAGTTCTAGCTCAATTCTTCCAACTATTATGTCTGAAATATGTGGTTTCTTCAGCAATAGAATCTTACCTTCAAGGTCTAGGAGGAAATCAAGGACAAAGGTAATAGCCTGTATTGTTTTGGGAGCCTCTTGCCCTCAGTTAATCAACAACTTGAAAGGGGGTTCCCCATGTCTATCATTGGAATTTTTGCTAGGTAGCCTGTGATTCTAGTGAGGAACATTATCATATAATTATGCAAAACTTTATTTTAAAAATATATATACACACTCATATACACTATATATGCATTTATAAATATGGTCAAGAACTAAGGTGCTTGCCGACGGCCTTTTCAAGCACCCTGAGTATAATTTATCTCTGTTTCATCCCTCTTTCTCTATGTTATCCTCTTCCCTCCCCAGTTAAAACCCTCCCTCTGATTTTCCCTTTTCCACTTCATAGCACCTGTACCCTACTATTCCAGAAAATATCTGGAGCAAATGCTGGTGAGGAGAAAGACGTAGGCTGATATCAAAGGCATTCCTTCTTCTCTTGACTACTCTACTAAACTTCCTCTCTTTTTTTTTTAATTGAACAGTTGCATGGCATGCTCTTTCCTGTACATAATGAAGGACAACATCTAATATTAAATGTTAATACCAGTACATTTATGTCATAAAATAGATAAAAATTCCACATGCTATCATTACAAAGAGATTTTCCTATTGCAGATAACTCTTATTAGAGCCTGCTTTATGTCTCTGTTTTTCAGGCTGTAAATAAAAGGGTTAAGCATAGGAGTTACCACTGTGAACATCATAGCCATGGTAGTCTCTTTCACAGTTGAGTTATTAGCTGATGGACAGAAATAGAGACCAAAAATTGTACCATAAAACAGAGACACTACAGACAGGTGGGAACCACAAGTGGAAAAGACCTTGTAGATGCCCTTGGCAGAAGAAACTTTGAGAATGGAGGAGACAATCCTTGCATAAGACATAACAATGAGTAGGAATGGTACAATAATGATGGGCCCTCCTGTGATAAATATCATCAGCTCATTAACAGAAGTATCTGAGCAGGCCAGCTTCAGCAGGGCAGATATGTCACAGAAGAAGTGGGGGATCACATTGTTCTCACAAAAAGACAATCTAGCCACAAGTAGGGTGTGCATCATGGAATCAAATATGGTCAGCATCCACAATGGCATCAATAAACTAGCACAGAACTTGGGGTTCATGATGCTGGTGTAATGGAGAGGGAAGCAGATGGCCACATAGCGGTCATAGGCCATGGCCACTAGAAGCAAGCTCTCCATATCTCCAAAAGCCATTAAGAAGTACATTTGTGTCAGGCAATCCACATAGGGGATGGTTAGATCCTGGCTCTGCATGTTCTGCAGCAATTTGGGCATTGTGACAGAGGAGAAGCAGAGGTCAGAGAAGGACAAGTTGCTGAGAAACAAGTACATGGGTGTGTGCAGATGGGAATCCAGTAGAATGAGGATGATGATGATGAGGTTCCCCAGGACAGTGGTGAGGTACATGGCCAGAAACAGGACATAGAACAGGTGCTGGTGCTCTGGGGGGATGGGCAGGCCCAGGAGGAGGAACTGGGAGATGACACTTTGGTTGTTTCGACTCATGATGCCTCCAAAGACTCTAAGAAAAATAATTAAAAGTAATGAAATATCTTAATGTTTCAATATGTATGAGATCATAAGCCAATTCTAGTCTTTTCTCATTTCTTTACTTTTGAATTAATTTTTCTTTAGTTTTTATGTTCTTTAATTTTTATAATTTTTGTTTCACTATACTATGTAATAATCTTGATAGCTTAACTTTTTCACTTGTCCTTGGTAAGAGATGGTGTATGCTGCTGAAACCCACCAATCTATCTCTAATACATAAGAAAAACAGACATTTCTGTTACACACATGGCATTTTGAAAGTTCTACAGCAGTTAATCTTACTCTCACCATAATAATTGTAATCTCTACATCAAAATATGTCCAATCATTACAGGCATGAATGACTTTTCTTAACATTGCTTTAGCATGTCCTAATAGTCTAGTATTGCCTAATGACTCCTAATTGCTTCTGATACACAAAATGTATTGACATATCTATTTCCTACCTGCCTTCTTATTCTAGGAAACTATATATAGTTCAGCCCATCATATAGTTTTATTCTATGAATTTTCTTAAAGAATTTTGTACACACAATCCTCATAATTCTAGGAAAGTCCCAAAATACACACTAACACTTTGATTGCTAGAGTACCATTTAAAAGTCAGATTAGCTGAATCTCTAACATATAGAATTCATTACCTCATTGCTAATTAATAATCTTCTTTGGTCTTTTTAACAGGCATCAAAGGCTCAAAAAAATCCCAAGAGAAATTACCTCCTCTCTCTTCCAACATCTTTCTTCCATGTCTTGTTTCTCATAATATAGCACATTTACACATTAGAGTACTACTCAGCATTAAAAAACAATGACCTCTTGAAATTTGCATGCAAATGTATGGAATTAGAAAACACTATCCTGAGTGAGGTAACCAGATCCAAAAAGATTAATATGATATGTACTCACTCATAAGTGGATACTAACTATAAACAAAGGACATTGAGCCTATAGTTCATGATCCTAGAGAAGCTAAGTAATAAGGTGAGCCCAAAGAAAAACATATATAAACCCACCTGGAAATTGGAAACAGACAAGATCTCCTGAAAAAAGGCGGGATCATGGGGGCAGGGAGAGAATAGAGAGTAGAAAGAGAAGAGGAGAGGAAAAGGGGAGGGTTGAGGAGAACATGAGGGAATTGGATAGTTGACATGGAAGAAGGACAGAGATGAGAGCAAGGAAAGAGATATCTTGATTGAGGGAGCCATTATAGGGTTAGCAGAAACCTGGCTCTAGAAAAATTACCAGGAAACCACAAGATGACCCTAAGACCCTAAGCAATAAAGGAGAGTGGGCTACAATCTTGACTTGCCCTGTAGTCAGACTGATGATTATCTTAAATATCATAGAACCTTTATCCAGCAACTGCTGGAAACAGAGGCAGAGATCAGCATAGGAGCACTGGACTGAGCTCCCAAAGTCCAGTTGAAGAGTGAGAGGAATGAGAATATGAGCAAAGAATTCAAGACTGTGATGGGTCTACCCACTTAAACAGTTTACCTGAGCTAATGGGAGCTCACCAACCCCAGCTGAACTGGGAAGGAACAAGCATAGGACCGAACTAGTCCCTCTGAAAGTGGCTGACAGTTGCATGGCTGGGGCAGACTGAGGAGCCACTGGCAGTGACACCAGGATTTATCCTACTGCATGTACTACTGGCTTTTTGGGAACCTATTCTCTTTGGATTTATACCTTGCTCAGCCTAGATATAGTTGGGAGAGCCTTGGACCTTCCACAAAGCAGTGCTTTACCATCTCTGAGAATTAGATGGGGGTAGGGTGGGAGGGTATGTGGAGGAATGGGAGAAGGGGATGTATTGAAAACTTGGATTGGTATTTTTTTTAATTAATGAAAATTTTAAAAAGTAATTCAAGACCCATTATATAAATTTTATTGCACTTTATTTTTTCTTACCTTGAACTATGTCTATCACATTATATAGATTCTCATCTTTATCTTCCTTTTATCCAGGAATTCAAAACCATCTAATCATATTCTTAGAATTGGAGGTCACCATTTCTTTTCTGAAATATCAAGTCAGCATTCAATTCCAAACCATGGTTCAATTCCAAACCATGGTTCAATTCCAAACCATGACCCATGTCTCAATACTATTATCTTCAGTATGTTTAACCAACACAGGCATTCTGAGGTGGAAATGCAGTCCTCCCTTTCCTGAAACATTCTTCAGATAACAATCTCATTCTTATGGACAAAATTCCTATCATATGCACAATCAATACTTGCTTACCTTGCTTGTACCAACTTCTTATAGTTCAATATGGCCTCATCTGGTACCTGTATTATTCTCATCAGCAATGCTGTACTTCAAGTTGAAGTTTGTGTCTCCATAATTTCTGATTTGATATTCTCCTTATCTGTCACATACTCTTCCCAATTTATCTTTCCTCAATATGACATGGCATATGCTAAGTTAAGCCTTTTTGTGTCCCTACACAGAGTAAGATCTGCTACCATGTATCTGATGTCATCTCACAGATTCTTATGACCTTAAGCAAAGCTATTGTTTCCAGACTGTAAATTCATGCCGGAAAGACCATGCCTGCCCTCATCCTGAACAAGGCCAGTCATGCCTGGATGTGACCCAGTGTAAATGAAGACTTCCTGGCCATTCTGTAGACTGAGACATAGACTTTTTCAAATTTAAGACAAAATGTGCATTAAATTCAATAATTACTCTTCCTCAGTCTTCCAAGAATATAAAGTCACTAAACTTGACATTTTACCATGAAAACTTGATAATCTGTGATTAATTTCACATACATGATCATATTTATAAAAAGTATTAAGGTGGTGAAGATGTTTTGCTCTTTTCAAAATAACAATGACTCAAAATTTTATGCTTCAGTTTATATGACTCTACAGATACTGATGTAAGAAAATAATTGTGATGGATATTTCTTGAAGACCAAAAACAAACAAATACGAAGCAGAAGGGAAGTTTAATCCTTCACTTAAGTTCACCTTCAGATAGTCATGCTTTACCACTGAGTGTGATGATTTTTGTAGGAAGTAGTATATGTCTTGATAGCAGTTTTGATCAAAATATAGTTCTGAATATTTCTATAAATGTGTTTTGTAACATTATTAACACTTAAATTAGTAACTCATAGAGGAAGTAACTCTAAGCCCTCATATTGTAATGAGCCTCTGAAGAGATGAAATAAAAACAGAGAAAAACTACAGTATTTTAGGAAACATCACCCACACTGTTTTGTATTTAAAACTATAACCTCCACTCTTCCAGGGTTTCCAGTCCACAGCTACTGGACTTATCAATTTCCAATTATGTAGGCTGTATTTTAAATAGTTCCTTGTCCTGGTCTTTTTTATCTAGACAACTCTGTCTAACAAACCCCAGTCTATATCAAAGCTGGCAAATAAGAAATTAGAAACACCAAAACATGTGGAGACAGGGGTTGGGGATTTACCTCAGTGATCCTGTCACTATCTAGCATGCCCAAGACCCCGAGTTCCACATCCAACTGGAAAAAAACACAGAAGAGAATGGATGACACACAAAGAGGTGGGAAATCTCTCCACTGACGCTGTTTGACTGAGCTCAGTTACTGCGGTCTCCATCATGCTGATGGTCATTAGGGCAGCTGCACTCATTGTTTAACTTGTGGACGTTATGTTTGATGACAAAGGAAAGAGCAATACAGGGGAAATCGCGCAATGAGTTTCTCATAATTATTCATATTCCATGAGTGAGTGAAGCCCATATTAGGTGGTCTCACACGCAGAGATTACAAAGCAAAGGTCATCTGTGTAGCTTGCTGCTGCTGATCTAATGGACTTTACTTCTTCAATTTTTAAACTTAAAATTCTTGACCTGAATAATAGATGAGAATCTCCCATGGATACAGTTCTAGCAGATAATATAGATGCAACTCCTGTGGGATTCTCTGAAAACACTATCTCTGGTTTGAAGATGGTAGTCAACTTTATAAATGGACACTCACGTGATGTCAGCATGCTGGTTGAAGTGTTCCAGTAAAGACAAAGCTATTTTTGATCTGATCAAAGTGTACTAATTTTCCAAAGCAAAAGATGTACTAAAAGAAGGCTTAGGAACTCCAGAATGGCACCCAATGGCACCTACTCTAAAGAGCTGTTATTAGCTTGAAATAGAAAAAGGCTGTAATAAACCCGATCATTATCAAAATGATTACCAATGCAACTGTGGACAAGGCATTTATACATTATGGCAAAGTGTTGCAACGTATAGAAATGGCAAGGAATGTTAACATACCTGAAAACTCCCAGTCAAACTGTTATAAATCTAGAAATGAAAGATCCATAGGTTGGAAACAAGTAAGGTACCTCCTGATAATTTATCTAGGATGATTGAGGGTGTATTAAGGTCCCTGCTTCAGAGCCTGGTCTTAAGCATTTCTTCCTTAAAAGAACAGGAAAAAACAAACTCTGTAGTCAACACCTTCTTAGATGTCTCCTTTTAGCCATCTCTGGACCCAAGGGCTCTGCATCCCAGCGGAGTCCAGCTCCAGCATGACTCATTAGAGATATGGCAATTATCCAGGACCGATCTAGGACCAATTTTTTCAAAGCCCTGAGGTGGGAGCTGATGATGGCCACTGATCACTCCTGAACATGCCAAAGGGAAGATAGACATGAAGAGAAAGTCAGATGCATACTTACCCTTCTACTGTATGTGGAATGTCCAGGATCTATGTGTAACTCCAGCTTAGGTTTCAAGTCAGCTAAGGGTGTGCTATTTGAAAACCACTGAAGTAATTGTAAGTGCTTTGGGTTTAAAAAAAATGGTGCTTTGATCTAGGCTATCAATGTTGGGAATGGAATTGTTCACAGTATTCTTTTCTTACTCTAAATTTTATTGGCACACAGAGCATGCCTCCTCTTTCATTTCTCATCCTCATGATTTTTGCCCCCTTTCTTCAGTTTTAGTTTGACTA